AAAAAAAAAAAAAAAAAAAAAAAAAAAAAAAAAAAAAAAAAAAAGAGAAAGAAAAAAAGAGAGATCAAACAAGTAACTAATGAATGTATGGCTAAGCCCTACAGTTGGAGCAGCGGCATTTCGTCAACCAAGAACAGGTATTAGTGGTCTCAAAGGAAGACAAACATTTGTCATAATAATTACTAACTTGGCAATTTTATTGCAAAGGTTTCGGCCATATTGTGATGGATAATCAAAATTCTTAACAATAGAAAGTTCTTATATAAATTTCTTAACAACATAATTTTTTTTTTTTTTTTTTAAATATAAAGTTATTCACAATATAAGCAAATGCATTCTGTATAGCCCAATTTATAAAAATTATATCCTTGATCTTGCTTTCTAGCATAGCACTTCGTTGATAAACAAGTACATGTAGGAAAACAACAGATACTTTGTGCAAAGGCCAAATCTGAGTTTACATTTAATGTCCAAAAAAAGAAATGCTTTTCACACAATGAATGCCATACACCTACTTTTATTGCAGCAAAAAGATTCTGAGCATTCTTAAGCGTTAAGGAAACGGATAATTCATCTACGATTTACCTTTCAAGAAGAGAGTAACCCACAGCAATCCAAACACGACTTGCAAGAAACCAGAGTTCGCCATGCTAGAGAATGGTTATAGCATTTGAGAAGAACTCGTTTGTGTTGTTGTTTTAAGTACTGAGGTACGTGCGTCTTTTCTTTGCAATGAATCTGAACAATGCGCTGTAACTGTTGCAGCTTCCCTTAATCCTGTAAATACTTAAGCCATGTATTAGAATTTAGAACCGACAAAGTTTAAAGAATTTTTTTCTTCAAAGAATAAGCAGAAAAGAATAAGAAAGAAAAAAAGAAAGAAAACATCCTTCGTTTTCGGGAAAAGAAGTATTTATATTCATTTTTATGGGAAATCCATGTGCGAAAATGTAGTAAGTAGATTGGCTAGTGAAAATGAAAGAGACTGGCCTATCCCAATACAAAGTAAAGCGCGCCGTACATGTTTCCGGTGACTTAATATCCATTTCAACTTTGTTAACCTTTTCCTGCTTTTGCTTTCGGAATAATTATTCATTTACGTCAATCAAAACATTTATCGGAAGAAAGAAATACGAATGAACTATAGGGCACGTCGAGAAAGGGAGTGTGGCCTGAAGAGAACCTTTAAAGTGCTACTCTGACGAAAATCGCTCAAACTTGGATTCAGCTGAAACTTCCTAAGAATACTCTTTAAAGGTCCAATAGACACTGTATGAAGTGTTTTCTCGGTATTCAGGACGAAAGTATGATATTTTTACGATTTTTTTTGGAGTCTGTGACGTCGTTTATGACGTCACAGACTCCAATAAATATTCATAAAAATATCATACTTTCGTCCTGAATATCGAGAAAACACTTCATACAGTGATTATTGGACCTTTAAAGAGTATTCTTAGGAAGTTTCAGCTGAATCCAAGTTCGATTAGCAATTTAAATTCAATAACAAACTGACTTTTTTTAGTGATGGCCGTGCTGGTAGTAGAGGAAAAAAGAACAGGATAAGAGTGTAAACGATGATCATAGAGGGTAGCATTAACAACAGCTAGATTTCAATTCAATATACCAATATATACCAATATATCGTACTTCATATTAACTCTAATAGCAATAATCATTTACTAGTGTTTTTCTCAACAATAACCTATAAAATGCTCATAAACAATCCGTGGGCTTTTTGTTCATTCCATTTTCTTTTGAATTCTGTTTGAGTTATGATCAATATTTCGTTAGATGTCTCAATGCGCAACGAGAGATTTTGAGTATTTGCATCATAGAGGGCTCACAAACACCTGTATAAAACTGGAATTTGGAGTCCCAATGAAAAACAAAAAGTACTTTTTTTTTTGTTATTTGAGTCATAATAATAGTTTCGTTAGACAAAATATATCTCCTGAAGCGCTTAAAGAAATAAAGTTAAAAAATGGAAATGATTTTAAAAACACCTAATTCATAATATCCGCTTCCAAATTAAACTGTATAACTTGTTTTTGCATATTTTCATGGAGGAGAATTTCAGTATAACAGTCTTGACGCGCCGTTTACGACCTGACAATATATGTATTCTAAAAGGCATTAAAAATATAGCTAAAAAAAGAAATCCTCTTTAAAACAAAGAATCCAAATTATTCAATGTAATATTAAACTGTATAACTTGTTTTTGCATATTTTCATGTAGAAGAGTTTTAGTATAACAGACTTGACGCGCAGTTTACAATCTGGCAAGATATGTATTCTAAAAGGCATTAAAAATATAGCTAAAAGAAAAGAAATCCTCTTTAAAACAAAAAAATCCAAATTATTTAATATAATATTAAACTGTATACCTTGTAATTGCATATTTTCATGAAACGAATTTCGGTATAACTGGTTTTTGCAAGACAGGTATGGTGAAAAATATTGAAATCGCTTGACGCGCAATGACCAATCTGACAACACATGTTTCATTAAAGGCTTTAAAAAAGTAAAGTAAAAAATTATCCAAATTATTCAATGTCATATTAAACTGCTTAACTTGTTATTGCATATTTTCGTGGAAAAGATTTTCAGTATAACACGATTCTGCAAGCGAGGTATGTGAAAAAATATTGCCTTGCAAAAACCTGTTTAACTGAAATTCTGCTGCACGAAAATATACAAAAACCAGTTAGCAGTAGTTTTAGTAAAGGTGTTACACTCAGTGCAATTTCGTCTAGAAGCCACTCATTTCTGTTAAGAGCTATCACGATAATTAATAGAACTGTAATAATTATAAACCGTAATTTAATTATTATATGGATTTTCATATCAAACACTGACTGTCGTATTTCCCTGTGTAGATCAATCAATGTTAAAAAGGTTTCTCGGATTTTTGAGAGAGATTTCTGCAGCTAACGATGGATGAATGATGAAAAGCTCTTTCTACGTCAACTACGACCTTTGGAGGGTTTTGAAAGTGCAAGAAAGATCAAAGATAAGTATAAAAATCCAAACATGGAATTGATCATACCATATATGGAGTGAGCTTTCTCTACTCCTGTAAGACATGGTCAGCGGTACCGTAGTTTCGTCATGCGCGTGAACGCACGAGGTTAACGTAGCACGAACGTAAGAAGATCCAAAGTTGTAACTTTAGGCCATACTTGAGAAATCCTACAAAGGTCATGAAAACCCTGCAAGGTCTTCACCGAAGTTATGTAATCAGAGTTGTTATGAATTGAATGAAGTACAAAAGTACGCGTATCTAAATCTGCTCTCGCGTTCCTACAACTCTAACTTCGACACTATATAGAGTAAAGTTTGATATGGGATTTATTTGTATCCAAAACTTCCTAATACCGTTAATAAGCATGAAGTTGTACTTTTTGAGCAAGATATTAAACACGGGGATTGACTCAAACATATTCGATTGGAATTCCCCTCCCTGTACAGTTTAATAAAGGAATACATTGTTCCACTAAGAATGGATTTTATTTTCCTACAAAAAATTGCAAGATTTTAACAAGAATACACTTGTACTAAGATGTATTAAATTTTAGCGTCATGGAGGG